ACACACACACACACACACACACACACATGCACGCACGCACGCACGCACGCACGCACGCACACACACACACACACACACACACACACACACACACACCCTTGAGCACATGTAGACAACAGTGGATTTATCTGCCACCTCAATTTTGAATTCCATGACTTCCCAATCACTGATAGGGAAAAAGAAAAAAGGGTTTTATTGCCTAAAATGTCAAAAACTAATTTGTATCTGATAGTCGTAACAAAGCTCTGAAGAGATTTATTGCTGGTCAGCACAATTACTCTTCTTGTTTCTTTTTACTGAAGAGATAACACACACAAAAAACAAAACAAAACAAAACAAAAAACAAAGCAAACCAAAACCATGTGCTACTTCACCTCTGCACACGGAGGGAATACAACTTTCCAACATTTGCAATCTATCTCCTGGCACTGACACTGCTGGTACTAACCTGCATGTCTCCTGGCTTGCAAAAAACGGAGACACAAGTATACTGGCCTCCATCCACTCCTTCCAATCTTTGACAGAAAACTTAATAATATTGAGTAACACAGCAATCACCTTTGCCACTGGGATCAAACCTTAAGTCTTGTACAACATCTAAATGTATCATTTGGAGAATGCTGTTTCTCTCCTTCCCGTGGCAAACTCTCTTAAATATAGACTTTTACATTCCCAAGGTCCATTTATGTCATTACCATTTTGTGTTTTATCTACTGGCTCATTCTAAAAGCTAAAGGTGTTAATGTTTAAATTTTTAAAAAAAAAAAAAAAAAAAAAAAGGAAATAAATGGGCTGAAATTATTAGGAGTAAAGGCTACTTCTGAATTCTCTAGTTGTTAACTCCAAAGGCAGGGTATATAAGCAGGGGTGCCCCCACCCCCATACACACACATACTATACACCATGACTGAACAGCACGATATACAGTTTAAGAATTGGGAAGAGGCCTTTAAAAAAAAATCGGCATCCAGCCAGATAAATTCCATGTGGGACTTTTACAGTAGCATGTGCTCATCTAACAGTACAAATTACACACACCTGTGTAAGACGTTTTAAGCATTTATTTTCATTATTTCAAGCTAACTACTTCATTGTTTCAGGGAAATGCCATGCAATATTGTAATGTTGGAGTGAAAAAAAAACAATGTTTAAAAGATGGCACTCAACCATAACTGGCAGTATGTTAGAAATGTTTGAATGTTTTGGCTTCAGAAAGAATATAGCATGCCCTTGGCATTTCAAGACAGAAGTCCTGACATCCATGCCCACATTAAAATGTCCCTAAGTTTACGCAGGTGCCAGGGCGTTTTCAGAATTACACCTTCACCTCACGTCAAGGCTCCTCATACATAGTTCACAAGTACTGTTTTTATTCACTTCCCTTCGTCAGATGGCCTCTGAATTTGTTTCCAGAGCAGTTCCAACAGAACACCCACACTGGGCAGCCCATGCAATAGAAAATGCACTGTCTCTGGCTCTGGAGACTGAAGTCCAAGATGGATGTGAACAGAGCTGGTTCCTGTCGAACACCCCTTGCCTGAAGTCCAGTGTTCTGAGGACACTGTGTCCCTTGACTCCTGAGAACATCAAGCTGATCTCTGCCTTTGTTCCACACGGGAGTCTCTCTGTATACATATCTACACTGCCTCATTTTATACTTGTCATATGAAGTTAGAAAACACTCTAGTGACCTCACACTGATCCCACATACAATAACCCCATTCCACAGTAAGGTGACATCTGAGGTATTGAAGCTTAGGTCTTCAATATAATCCGGGGGAGGGGGAGAGGCAAGTTCACTCATGGCAGCTATTTTCAAGTTTGAGCAGGGGTATAGCTCAATGGTAAACTATTTGCCTACCTAAGTTTAATCCCAGCACTGTGAAAACACTCTCTCTCTCTCTCTCTCTCTCTCTCTCTCTCTCTCTCTCTCTCTCTCCAACCACCCCGTGTCAGGGTCAACTACTGAATCTCCTATGCCAAAAACAGACATTTGCACATGGGGCTCAGCCAAGTATTTTACTGAATGAGTGAGTGAACAAATGAATAAGACTACAAGTGGAAAAAAAATAAAAAACTGGAAGCCAAGAGGTTGAATCATCAGCTAGGTTGAATATTGACTTCCTTTGTGGAATTAGCAGGAATTAAGATTGTGCCCTAGCAAAATTACAAAATGTTCCATGCTCTTTGTCCTTCTAAAAATCATCCAAATCACAAGCATCAAAACCTCAAAAACAGCTAATAGATGCCTATGTATACACGTATGTTTAAATAATCTCTATCTTAAAAACAGTAATGAGTCAAGGGTAGCACATGACTTCAGTTTAAACAGCTTAAGGAATGGTAGTGAGAAAGAAAGGCACCAAGTACAAGACTTCCAGCTTGGTCCATTACTGTACAGTCTCTCAGCAAAGCAGCTTTCCAGCTCTACACTGGGTGTATTTCCTTGTTATAATCTTTTTTATTTTAATAGCCAATCCTTTTTGATAAACTCTAAGATGAACTGGACTCCATAGCAACCTCAGAATAACAAGCTCCTATTTGCAGTAACATGGTAACACAGTATCGCAATAGATAACAGCCACACAAGGAAAGCCTTCTGTTCTATTTCTCCTAATCTCCTCATTCAAATCCTATCACCATGAATTTCCTGGATACTTGGCTTTGAAATACCATATGACTATAAACTTTAAATCCAGACCCAGATAGGTCTACATTCATTATGACAGCAGCATCTTGAAACGGTGAATTATTATCTTCAATTTCCCTGTCATTTATTGTAGCTGCCAGAATGAAATGGTGCACCTTAAAGGCAACACTAAACTGAAGAGCGAATAATAAAGTCTCTTCAATGTTTCATTTATAAAAGCTTATTTTTCCACCATCACATTCTGTACACTATCTGAAATACATATCACTTTGTGAAACTGACATTTTGCATGCAGTGGTCCTACTGAGCCCACGTGCTAATGTCAAGGCTTACTGGGAAGGAGTAAAAGCAGCAGCATCTTTCCACCTTCTAAGAACAAGATTCAGAATCTGGAGAGCTGGCTCAGGGGCCAAGATCACGGCCTGGTCTTGCAGAGTTCAGTTCCTAGGAACCAGATCCAGGGTCTGGAAACCTGGCTCATGGGCCAAGATCACGGCCTGAGCTTGGAAAGTTCAGAGACCAGCACCAGATGGCAGCTCACTAATATTACTCCAGTTCCAGGGGATCCAACACCCTCTACTGCCCTATTCGGGCACTGCACACCTGTGATGTATATGCAAGCAAAACACTCACACAATAAAATCTTCAAGAACCAGAACTGAGCTGGGTGTGGTGGCATTAACCAGCCCTCAGCATTTGGGAGGCAGAGGCAGGAAGAGTTTTCTAAGTCTAGTCTTTGTAGCAAGTCACAGGAAAGCCAGGGCTACATGAGATCGTCTCAATAAGGGGGCAGGGGAGAACCAGAATTGGCTGGGTTTTGGCGTTGGTAGGGAGCTAGGTGGGGTTAAAAAGTCAGTCGCTTCATTATAGCTGCCCCTTTTGTGGATAACTTCACTAATTTTGGCTGTATTTTAAATTGTGCTATAATTGAGGATTGGGTCCTAGCCTAGCATGCTTGAGGGCTTGGTTCAATCTCCAACACCAAAAATATAGAAATAAAAAATTACACCCTAATGTAAGCATTCTAAAAAAGCAAAGGACAGAGGACAAGGAGCAGTCTGTGACAATTAGCTCACTTTGACAGCAAGACAAACCTCCAAACAAAACAAAACAAAAAATTTTTCCAAATGAAGTTTTTTAAAAATCCTGCTAAAAAAAAAAAATCAAATGTGTCAAGTTCTATTTTAACTCTATGTAAAGGCACAACTGCCAGTGACAACTGTAAGGTATTCATTAACTGAACAAAACATGGCTTGTAGTTCCAAGATTGGTCTTAGACTAGAAAGTAAGGTAAGAGGAATGCTCACATCAGTGAAGTACATTCCCTGCACATTCACACAAGCCAGGACGCTGTGAGGTCATAGGAGGGGCCACTGACCAAGTTTATTCACTATGCTGTGAGGGGCAATCCTTATATTTCTACCTGTTGTATATAAAGCTGAGTTTTAAAATGTTCAGAATAGCTACCGAAATCTTTCTCAGCAATGCTTTGAAAAGTCACAGGTTCTGGGAATTTATTGTATGAAACTGTAATTTAATAGAATCAAACTGATTAATTCCCCAAGTATCTTTAACTTCAAAAACCCTACTTCAGAAAAAAAAAAAAAGTGTCTATCTTCAGTACACTGTCCATTTCCGAAGCATTCATGTTTCTAAACAATTTTAAAAGCTGTACTTAGAAATAATACCAGTTCATTTTAGTCACTGAGTAGATTTTAATACTTCAGGTTCTTAAAAATCCACGTACTTCATATAACCTAATTTCAGAAATGTAAACCATGATTCAATCTTCAAATTTTAATTTAACATATTCTACCTCCCACTCTGTAACTATGAACAAGAAGAAAATTTATTTAAGATATTAAAGATAAGATTTCATTTGGATTAGTATCTGCAAATCTAATGTTAAGACTAACCATAGCTGCAACCTCACTGATGTGTGGATTCTCAAGATCATAATAAACACACAATGAACACCTACCCTTAGAGTGAAGCAGTGCTTGGAAGAAACTGCTACTGACACCTATTTTATACTTTCAAGAGCCCACCACCCTGTGTAGCTCTGGATCAGGCTAATGAGCATCATTTCCCATCATGTCCAGGACTCTGAAATAAGACTGTTGTTCCAAAGACTTCTTAAAAACAGCACTTTTTGAGGGCTGCAGACATCATCTCTAGGACTGAGCATGGCTCGGCAGTGTGGACATCAGTGTATTAATGTATCCAACAAATAACCCAGTAAACTGCTACCATTTAGCTCCTAGGTTTGTTATAATAATTACTTCACATTCTATGTAATAAAACAGAATAGACTCGAATTCTTATTTCTATAAATAAACACTGAAAGAAATATTTAAAGATCTCCAATTTAATGGGATGTAGAGCTGGACTTTCAGAAACAAATACACTGGCTAATAATTATCTGCAATCATGTGACAATTTTCATTAAAATTTGTTATGTAATTTAAAAAAAGAAATACAAGATACAAGTTTCTTTGCAACAAACAGCAATAAGAATCCATTCTGTAATTATCTTAATAAAGCACTTATATCTCTAATGAAGTTACTTTAAAACTAACTAGAAATTTGAGAGAATTAAAATGGCAAAGAGTGAAATAACTACAAATGTTCATAAATGTTTTTTTACTTAAACATATCTGGTACCAGAGCTAAAGACTTTCTGCATGTATAATTTTAACACAACTTACAAAGCCCATTATAATTTAAAACTACTTTCAAAATCTGCTACCATGAATCAAGAAATTCATATATTCAAAGTTAGTTGTGAAAAATTAATCACAGACAATTTCAACAACACTTACTCTCAAAAATTAAAGAATTTAGCTATACTTGGCATTCTTATACATGATGATGGGGGCTGAGAGCAGCAAGGCTATAGGGGCTCAGTCACCAAAAGGCTTTAATAATTCTCCATAACAAATAATATTCTGGAAAAATAAATCAGAATGTAAATACAATGTGATTCCTCCTGTGGCTAAGGGGCAGTATTTAATAAAGAAAGTTGGTTCAAAATATTGGTAAGTACACATGGCCTAGGAAATATATAGTTAAAAAAAAATCTAAAAGAGTGAGAATAGAAAACTGAGGGACATGACTCATGAATGCTGTCTACCGAACTGAGGTTCTCACACCTGCCTTCCTCATCTAGAGAACCTGTTCACCTTCTCTGTGGATAGCAGGAAGCGAGTGAATTACACAGCTACAATCTTGAGAAGGAGGGAATCTAGCCAAAGCCAGCCAAGACATATAACCCTACTTCCCATCAGTGGTAATGAGAATATTTTATTTTAAATGGAACATGAAGAATTAAAGTACAGCCTTAAGGTTTCAATTTTGCACTTTGAATATCAAGATAGCAATTACTCCAAAAATCACAGAAACATGTTGAACTAACTAAACAGAGAAACAAAGTGGGTATTTAAGTCAACACATTTATCGTCATTAGTAAAAACAGATGTCCTTATAACTCCAGTCTACAGACAACACACTTCATAATATCATTATTCATTTAAAGTACTACAAATGTTTACAAAGAACATTTGGATTTCACAATTGCTTATAGAATACCTTACAATATTTAAAACATCATGATGCTTTATATGAAAAATCAATGAAGACAACTTAATCTTTCTCAGCAAAAAAAAAAAAAAAGATTCAGTATCACAAATTTAATGTGTAAATTTATACATGAATTCAAAAAGGAATCCATTAAAAACTTGCATTGCCACACAACTACCTATTTTGTAAAATGATAAAAACGATGTACTTTTTGAAAACATGTACATCAGAACCAGAAGATTAATGTTTACTTTTTCCTTTATTAGCAACATTTGGTGTGTTTTTCTGTTTGGGTTCCCAGAGCGCATTTTTGACAAATCTTGAGGCAGCGCCTCTGTCCAGCTTGGCAGCCTTTTTCTTGTCTGTTATTTCTTTGACTCTGTTCATGTAGACTCTGATTCTTTCCTTAGAGATAAAAAGAAAGAAAAATAAAAGGCAATGATTTCCTAAGCTGTTTGCTATTGCTAGGTTTTATCACGCTCTTTCTCAGTGAAAATCAACAGTGAGTATTTATTGTCCATTAACTCCATGGTACTAGGGAGGACAAGCATGCCCCATGCGTTCTTGGAGCTGACAGTCTAGGGGGAAAATATACTTTAAACTCCCTTCAGTGGACACAGGGATGCTCCCAGCACTTGGAGGGAAGAGGCAGGAGGATTAAGACATCAAGATCAGCCAGTTTGAGGCCAGCTTGGGCTCCACAAGACCCTGTCTGAAAACAGCAACAAAGAATCAAACATTTTAGAAGTGTTCTGAACTCTTCCAGAGAAAGGCTCGCACTAGGGTATCACTATAGCAATAAACAATAAGTTAAATTCTCCCATCATTTTACTAGACAGAAAACAGGTAAGGCAGTATTTATATCTATTTTATGTTACTGTCTAGTGTTATAATAAAAAAAGGCAGAATGAAATAGATCTTTTATTCAATTTCATAATTTTGACTGGTAAACTATGTGAAGTTTTCTAATAAAATATACAGACTTTAAAGATAAGAAACCACTTTAAATCTCCTGAGAATATTACTTAGAATAAATAAATTTTATACTTCAAATGGTGAAATAAAGTTGATGAAAACCATAAAATACAGTAAATGGCTGATCACTGTTCAAAAACAAGTTTCAATGAAATAAAATAGGTATATGAACATATACAGTAAAATACAGAACCTTACAAGTGTTTCATTATCAGAACTAAGTAACTGCTCAAACTCCTCTCTGGCTCCTTCCTCTCTGGTGTAAAAACTGCAACCCTTACAAAATAGCACATCTACCCTAGGTCTGCCCTAGGACCTTCCTCCTGCTTATTGTTCTGCCTCCAAATATCTATCCACTTACCCCCTCCCTTCTAGTCTGCTCAACTATGTGCAGTGTTTATTTTACTATGGTTACTGTGTGTTCCCCTTCATTGTGGGTATGGCATCTGCCACATTCCTCTGAGGCATCATCTCACTTGAAAAATGATGCCCAGCTCTTAGTAGGCACTCAAATATCGCTGGATGAATAAGGTGACTGTTTTCCCACTTGTGATGCATATGACAAATAGCAAACAGATTTCCTCTAATTCTGTGATCAATTATAATGTCTATTGCAAGGTCAGAAAAGGGTAATAGACTTAAGAATGTTTTTTATTTGCCAATCCTTATCCAGAAAATTAATGTTCTCTCCATAAAGCAGACTCTGAAGGGGAATGAAGACAAATGGTCTATCCTTTTACAAACTCAATATTGAGTACTGTAAATAACTGTGTTGAAAAATAATTTCATAAAAGGACACTATTAGGAAGCTAGAAAGATAACCTGTATTTCTTAAAGTCAGTATCATAGGGCAAATAAAATCTATAGATATTCCTTTATGCTTTTTTCTTAAAATTGTTTCACAACGGCTACATTTAAGTATAAATCTATTTTTTCCCCAGGAACCATAAAAGAAGAAAATATCCTGGTCTATACAATTTTTAATGAAGATAAAAGGCCTGAATTACTCATTTTATTTTTAAGTAAATTACCTATGTGCTTTACCAAGATGTAAATAACACACTTCACTAGCTATTATAAGACTTGAAAACAAGGATACAATGTCAAATGTGTTTTACATATATATGCACATTATATTTTATGTGCATAAAGAATAAATTCATTAAAATTCTTATTCATAAAGCCAAGTCAGTAAGGTAACTATAAGTTTGATTTCTATTTTTCTCCTTCTAGTTGGATGATTTGATTTAATATTTGAAGTCAGCAAAAACTCCAAGATATTAGATCTTATTTAGTGTACTTATACATCTAAATGGAATACAGAGACAAACCCAGAAGATTTATTACAGGTTATAAATATGTCACTGATGCAGAATTACTGGACAGTATACATACAGCTGGTGCCAGAAAAGCTTTTAGCTTTGTTGCTGAACTGAATTCTTTACTGCTGAGAAAATGAGTTAATGGAGGAATTGAAAAGGTAGGAGAGAATTTCCCCATCTTTGCTAGTAAATCAACTGGAATACACTTTTAAGAATTGTGTAAGAGTTTTTTTTTTTTTTTCTTAAGTAGTCCTGGAGATGAATAAAATTTTAAGAATTTATAGGAAAAATAATATGAAAGTTATAAATAATTACTAGAATAATGCCATTCTGCTCTAATTCTGATCTCCCTAACCAGTGTGATAATAGCCATATGACTGAAACTGCAGAGTTACAGCAGACCTATAAATAGGCATAAATCACAGATGTCTTACCAATTCTTGCTTCACTGGATGCTCCTTAGGATTAACTCCTTGAGTTGCCAAATAAACTGTAAGAGAAAGACCTGCATTAAATAAAGTGCTATATATAATAGTAGGAATGTTATAATAAAAGAAACCCAGTTATTCCAAAAAGAAAAGTTGCAAAACTAATTCAATTTCAAATTATTTAACTTCTATGAAATATTAAGTTTGTGTGTGGCTCACAGGCATCCCGTAGTCTCACATAAAAGAAAAAAAGCATTTGACTTATATTATAAAGGATAATTTTGTTAACTGCTAGCTCTTAAAAACAAATCACCTTTGACACAATAATATACTTTCTAATGAACTACAGAGTAACATACTTACCCCAAAACATTGAATTCAATGTGTATGCAGAAACTAAATCCACCTTTGCTTGCTCCAGTGGGTCCAACTAGTAAAACAGAAAGAGACGAGGAAATGAAAGACACACACAAACTTTGAACACCAACAGATACATGCTAAACTTTTCCCAACCACAAAGTATCAAAGGTATGTTTTTCTCACTTCCTATAATCCAATAATAAAAGAATCTAGAATAATTTATACAAAATAAAGTTTTCTTAACCAATGATTCTTTTGGGTTACTTCTGAGACTGTATTTAATTACAGTACTTCTCCCTTCCCGTTCTTCCCGCAAACCCTCCTGTATACCCCTCCCTGCTCTCCTCCATATTCAGGGCCACTTATTTTCATCAGTTGCTATTGTACACTTACATATATATGTATATACATACAGATACCCAAGTATAACCAGTGGGGTTTTGGCTTTTTGTTTTGTTTTACTAAAAATTTTCACTTCAAGGTATCATTTTTGGTTAAACAAGGAATTTTTGCAGTCCGAGAAAAATTCTTCTAAATAATATCAATTTCAAAGGTATAATCCGGGCTTTTATGTCAAAAGTAATTATTCAACATAAGCATTGTACACGATTCACTTATTTTTTTAAAGATTTTATTTATTTATTTATTTATTTATTATGTATACAACATTCTGCTTCCATGTGTATCTGCACACCAGAAGAGGGCACCAGATCTCATAACGGATGGTTGTGAGCCACCATGTGGTTGCTGGGAATTGAACTCAGGACCTCTGGAAGAGCAGTCAGTGCTCTTAACCTCTGAGCCATCTCTCCAGCCCACTATTCACTTACATATAAGAAACAGAACAAAATGCTTAGGTAATACCAATTATAGGAGAAACAATTTAATTACTTTTTTTGCATTGCAGATAACTGATATCATTATAATACTTAAAAGAACAAAAATTCTGTCAAAAAGAATGCTGTGAGTGTCCTTGCTTTTCAAAATCAAGTTCCCAATGCAAGGGCTTTGTAGGATGTCTGGCTAAATATACTCTAACAGTTCCACACCTGAAACTCCAGCAGGAAGACATAGACAATGCTAATAAACTATTTCAGAAGTTTCTGTCTTTGAAATTCATCTGCAGATAACAGATTTTAAAATGTCTTCTGCTGCTGGGCACTAGTGGTGCACACCTTTAGTCCCAGCACTTGGGAGGCAAAGGCAGGAGGATCTCTGTGAGTTCAAGGCCAGCTTGGTTTTCAGAGTGAGTTCCAGGACAGCCAGGGCTATACAGTGAAATCCTATCTCAAAAAACAACAACAAAAATACCTTCTGCAACAACTCATTTCTAGAAACAGACATCATGGTCTTCAGCATGTCATCCACAGCACCCAGGGAGCTCTCTAGGGCTGATAAAGATTCATGAATCTCTACAGGATAGTCTTCATTCATTTCTTCACCTGCCATTTTGACCAACTGAAAAAAAAGAAATTCTCAGAATTCATATTGGAGACAGAGCTTTAGAAAGAAAATGAAAAGTACATTTACTTTTAAGTAAGGTTAGTAAGAGAATCTTGCCTGGGGTTGCTGGCGCACGCCTTTAATCCCAGCACTCAGGAGGCAGAGGCAGGTGGGTCTCTGTGAGTTCAAGGCCAGCCTGGTCAACAGAGCGAAGTGCCAGGGCAGGCTCCAAAGCTACACAGAGAAACCCTGTATGGAAAAAAAGTAAGTGAATCAGCATGCCAGCCTAGAACAGCAACCTTCCAGCATCTCTTCCTAAAATGTACTTCCTTCCTGGGAAAAGGGAAGGACTCTGTGCAAGCCACACATCAAGCCCTTGAGACTTTCAAAGCTCTGAAACATGATCTAGTATTAATAAGCAAAACTCATGTTCACCCAGATTCATTGGCACATGCACTTGTAAGTGGAGGATGAGCAGTTCCAGGATGCCCTAAGCTACAGGTAAGTTCTAAGTTCAAGACAGCCTCTGCTACAAGAAACGCCATCTCAGCAATGAAAATAAATGGGGAAAACTACATTTTTTAAAGCATTGTATTGAAGACAATTTTTTTTCATTTTTTATCAATTTATTTTTTTACATTCCAGACAATTTTTTTTAAACTGAAAGTCTGATAAACAAATCCTCTAACGTCTGCTGAAGAAATCAAAAAGTGAGTTTTCCTGAAATTTTTCTTTTGTTTGGATTTTTAAAACTTAGAGATGTCATTTTGACAGTTCATTGTATTAAACTTAAAAAACAAATCCTAGATATGAAAAATCTTTATCAACTATCACTTTTCAAGTTCAAGTTCATATATGTATTTATAGTCCTTAAGCATCTTAGCAATTGCTGAATGCCAAGGTGGATTTTTTTTTGGGGGGGGGGGTGGAGAGGTTACTAGAAGCAGACACTTGAGCTTTCAGTATTGCCTACTTTAACACGGACTGTTACCTTATGGGAAAAAAATCACTAAATCTCTCTGGGCTTCAAAGTTTTCACTTACAAAAAGATCTAATTGGTTTAACGATCTGTAAGGTTCATTATCAAAATTATGGGTAATTTTGGTGTATATGAAATGGTATTATAGATGTATAATGTCTGTCATTTAAGGATACATACTGAAGTACACAGTGATAAAAATCATGAATTTACTTGTTTAAAAAAAGCAGCCTTCATAAATTAAACTAAAGAGTAAAGAATAATTTACATGGATTATTACAATGAAGTTAGATAGCAGTTACTGTCACATATTGAGTCTTTGAATAGACTCAGGTCATGCACTGCAGGATGATGAGAAGAAGGTGTAGCCTAGAACATTTACATGGCTATTACAGGATAGAAAGAAAGGATAGGAGGTGCTCACCGGACCTGCACAGCTGCTCAACAACATTCATAAATTAATACTGTCAACAAAGGCTGACATTTCAGATCGCTTGATTATATTACAGAATGTCTTTAAGACATTCTAATTTTAGTGGGCAGGGCTGGGCAGCTGCTTGGGAACTGAACCTTAAAGAATGCTAAGTATGAACCCCACCTCTAAGCTACACCTCTAACCTCAAAATACCATAATTCCTTCTTTAAAACATCTCCATGTGAAAATACATAGATCAGGTCTAAATACAAATAAAATATACCCTGCACAACAGGAAACAAAGCGTCTCTGAATCAATCTAACAAACAAGCAGAAACTACAAACAACCCCAAGGAAAGTAGACAAAGAAGTCAGAGGCTCACAATGGAATCCAGATGACTATTAAACAAAGAAAACTACTCACCGTCACCAAGGAAAACAAGATGCCACTTTTCATGTGTCAAACCGCATGTAATGTAAGCAAAGGTAGCCACAAACAGGCCCTTTTCACAATTAGCAGTTTGATTTAATTAAGCATCTTTTGGATTTGATACTCCATTTCAAAATCTTATGTATATGGTTCCTTGGCCCAATAAATTTACTTCTCAGAAATGTACATTTAGTTGAGATAGCAAAACCTAAGACATTTAAGAAACCCTACTTTTAAGAGATAAGACCTGGCTGGCAGTTTTGTGGACACATTTGGGGGCAAGTTCAAGATTGGGACTTTGGTGCTTTTCTCTCCCTCTCTGCATTGGCCTCTCCCTGTCACACACAAGAGCAACAAGGACAACAGCCATGAACTGAAATCTCCAAAACTATGAGTCAAATAAGCCTTTCCTCTTTTTAAGTTTATCTCACATTTCTGTGGCAGCAACAGAAAACTAACATACTTATACATACATGTTAGTGTTTTTTAATACATACAAAATAAACTGTTAACTGTAGCTACTTCCAGGAAAGGAAAGGCAGGGAAGTGAGACAGCATACCTTCTTACAGTCTCTGAACTATGATTGTCAGAGATTTATGTAATGTTTTATAACAAATTTATAAATAAAAGTTCTGCATGTTTGACATTTTGAAATTTACTGGAGATGCACTCATTTCCCCCTACTTAGCAGTCAGAGTCAAGCCTATTATTCTTTAGCTCTACTACATCCAAACAACCAAAATGTCTTCTTTTCCTTAGAGTTGAATTTTCTAGCCAACATGAAGGTATATTCTTCCTCAATCTCATTGCCTCCTCCAGTTTGGCTTCCTGAAATGTCACACCTCCTATCTGCTCTCTCAAAGGTGCCTCCACAAACCTAACTTTTCTTGGTACCCACTAGCCAATTCAACTGTAAGTAACCATTCCAGCTCGAAGTGCACTAGCTTTCCTGAGGAAATTCACAAAGGACACTATCAATTCCCAGTTCCTGAACTCACTGCTTGCTCCCTACTCAGCACACAGTGTACACTAGCATGTCAATGAAGAACATTTACAGAACACTCACTCACCACACAAGTATCAAGCACTGACAACACATCACCCTGATATTAGGAATACACTGATAAGCAGAAACCTGCTACACTGAGCTTTTGTGCTTACTGCCCTAATCAAATAATCACAGAAATACAAATTACAATGACATGGGGACATACAGGGTACCCTGACACTATGAACTTGCAGACATAACAAGACCTGAGGAAAGCAAACCTATCTTCAAGAAAGCACTCTTCCAGGATGAGAGATACCATATCAGAGGGAGCCACTATAGGTTTGAGAAGAGATCTGGAACCAGGGAGATCTCCAGAGACCTACAAGGATGACACAATCTGACAATCCAGGCAATGGTGGAGAGGATAACCTAAAAGCCCTTCCCCTAAAATGAGATTGATGACTTCTCTTTATGCCATCCTAGAGCCCTCATCCAGTGGCTGATGGAAGCAGAGACAGACATCCACAGATATACACTGAGCTGAAATCAGGAATTTAGTTGAAGAGAGGGAGGAATGAAGAACAAAGGGGTCTGTACCAGGTTGGAGAAACCCACAGGAACAG